GTGATAACGTCCATAGGTATATTGTCAAAAGAATTGTGGCCCATGGAGTGTGATAACAGGCTCCTTTGTTTTCTGCTGTAGTATTTACAGCAACCATATGAGGTAAGGCATCATTATCATCTTCATAGTATTGATAGAAGGATTTAAACTGAGTGACAGTCTTTTGATGAGTTCATGGCAGAGATCGGATTCAAACGGCTTAAGAACATCTTGATTCCTATGCAATGCTAGTCTCTGTCTTGCTTGTCAAGTTGAGTTCCTCCTCATGTCTACATCCACTTCATCAACCTCCAAAGGAATAATTGAGGACTATGAGAAGACATTTGGAATATAGGTAATATGACATAGGGCAGATTTTGGAATGATACCTTTAAACAGTAATTTGTTACTGTTACTGTTCTGCCTTCCCACCCTTATAGTAACATTATAGTTTTGAAAATTTTAAAGTAATTTTCTCCTTTCCCTTTATTTGAAGGTAACTAAAATGTTTATTTTTAGTTACTTTTTTAAACATCAGAACCACAGAAGCATCAGGGACGCCTAATTACTGACCCCCCCCACACACATATCTTGTAACTATAAAAGTAACTAAAACAGAATCTTTACTACCCACACAAAAGTAGTGACATTATCCCCCACTATGTTACTGTCATAACATAAGCTAGTTGTGCCTTTTTATTGCAAAAAATGGTTTTGTGGCTAGTTGTTTTCAAGCTGTAGCTGTGTTGCAGATGTGGTGTCCCCGTAATAAAGGAAATATACTTTGCATGTTTCTGTTGCTAGTATAACAATAGAGGGTATCTATCTGTATGTATAACTAGTTTGGTTTGTACTTAGCAGGAGTCAAGGGTTTTCCAACAATATTGGGCAGAGTTAGAAGAGAAAGCACTGTCATATCTGAGTTAAGCAGGTGAGTCTTTGAAATGTATTGTTTTCCAGTTTGTTCAAATCAATACTGAGTAACAATATCAAAAACTCAAACTACTAATAAATTCTTTTATTCTGGACATTAGTTAAGAAAGCAAGGTAAAAATACAGTTATGTTCACTTTTATACTTCACCTTTTAAGTAAAGCATTTTTTTCACCTATGACTGCCATCTCCATAATCCCCATCCAGTATGGCTTGATGGCTGGAGATAATAGGGCTTGCAGTCCAAAACAGCTGGAAAACACCTGGGTGAAGAAGGGTGTGACTCGCATGGGTGGGTGGTATATCATTTATGTGATCTTCCTTTGGTGTATATTTCCCTGCTTCTCTCTTCTTGGCAGTTTCTTTAAAGATGTACATTTATCCGTTCTCTTTTCCAGGACAAATATGATAACAAATAAAAGGGTTTGTGGGTGTTTCCAAAATAGTGGGAGTGGTATATTGGTTCTCCCAGTGTTAGGAATGGAATTTTTATCTTGGATCCAAGCACAGTTTTACTATCTTGCTTATTGGTAAATTTGTCCAAGTAGTTTTCTTTTCCACTGCTTAAAAGCAATGGAAAACAGAGATAACTCACGGTCATCAGAAGTGACAAAGGACCTTGGAGTTTGCTTTGAGACATAAACTGATTATTCAGCTTGGTTACACATGACATTTTGTGTCTACTGAAAGGGAGGCATTGGATACCATTGCTGCTGATATGCATCAGGAACCCTTGGAAAGATCTGTCTCAGTGCAAACAGAGGCAAGCTGGCTGTATGAACATGTCTTCAAGAAAAGGAGTAAGTAGTCAGCTTACTGTTCCATTCTGGAGTTTAGCCCAAACGTAAAGAAAAACTACTTAATCCCAAAAGAATCTGCTCTATTTACTGTGTTTAATTAGTTCATGTATACCCCGCCTCTCTTTTGGCATGGGACTCAAAGCAGCTTACAAAAAATGTAAAACAAAGTCCAGCTTATTTGTAAAACTGGGTGTCAGGCTAATAGTGAACAGAGACGGGCCTTTTCTTTCTTTTTTTCTTTTCTTTTTTGAATATTCTTTATTATTTCAAATATGTAAAATACATTCATAACACAAAAAATATAAATAACATACATAACATACACTACTTGACAACATAATTTAACAAACAAACATAAAACTTACAAGATGATGTTAAACAAAAACAAACATCAAATAAAATGACTTCCTTGTTTCGTGGAATTGTTCCTTTTCTTATTTTACCAAAAATAAAATACAGAAAAATTCTTTAACTTACGCTCTTTGATTTCTTATTATGAGAATTACTCCGTCTTTCATACCTTTTTTGCATTACTGTTTCCGTATACACTGCAGCTGAAACCTCGATTTTCAATTCAACCCTATTGTATAGTCCATACCTTTTTGTTCTTTTATATATCTTATTAGGGGAGCCCATATTCGAGTATGAGTCTCTTTACTTTTCCCTCTTAATAAGTTTGTTAATTTGTCCATTTCCACAAACTCGTAAAGCTTAAAAAACAGAGAAGGGCCTTTTCAGTTTTGGCACCTATCTGTGGAAATTGTAGTTGATTTAAGCAGTAATTGAAAGGCTGAAAACTGCAAGCTGGAGTATTTAAAATGCATTCAGTACTACAGAGGTAGGCAACCTTTCCCCTTTAAGGGCCAAGGGACTTCAGCTCCCAGAATCCAAGGAGCTATTGGCCAACATGGGACTATTGGCCAACATGGCTGAGGCTTCTGGGAACTGAAGTCCCTCGGCCCTTAAAGGGGAAAGGTTGCCTACCCCTGCAGTACTATATCAAGACTTGGAGGAGTTTCCATGTACATTCTAAATTCTGCTTCTGGGCAATATATATATATATATATATATATATATATATATATGCATTCATACATGTACACAGGTACATAGACACATGTGGCAGTAAGTGTTATTTTTAGAGGAATATAGAAAATATTTTGTAGAAACACTTGACAGTGTACAGAGATAGATGTGTATAATTGCATTCCAGAACTGCCTTTATGAAGTATTAAGAAATGTAACCATTGTCACTTGGATGGTGTAAATGATTTCCATAATACACTTTATTTGACAAAAACGGAAGTTTGACTATAAGCAAATATGTTGGCTTTTTTTTTTTAATATGCAAAATAGTCCACAGCCAGCAATCCTACCTCTGTCCCAAGCCAAAGTTTGTTAATCAATGTGAAACTCACACAAAAATGTTCAGAATCTTAACTTTTAAGTGTAAATGTCAAGTTTGATCAAAATTGGTTCATAAGTGTACTTTCTAACACAAGAAATATAGAAAATTGAAGTGTTTGTTTAAGCGAAACCAGGCCTGAAATTTTGCTACAGTCCTAGGTTTGGTCTCATTAGATATTACAAAGTGTTTGGTGATTCTGCAACCATGTACATGGATTTAAATAGCTTAACAGAGAGGAAAATGGTTTAAATTATAATATAGATGCTTGATTTGGCTCCATATTTCTTCTGGCCTCTCATAAGAAACATTCAAAATCTCTTCTGCTTGTTATAAAGAAATTTGTCCCTTTACCAAATACCATTATGGCTTCATCAGTATTGTAAAATATCATCAGTGGCACTAAATTCTAAAGCAGGGGTAGGCAACCTTTTTGAGCCGGGGGCCGGGTTGCTGTCC